GATCCCCTGCAACAGTTCTTATGGACAGTTATGAGCTGCCATGTATGTGCTTAGAACTGAACCTGGGTCCTCTGCAAGAGCAGCAAATGCTCTTAACCAATGAGCCACCTCTCTGTCCCACCCCCCCTTTTTTAAATTTATCTGTTTATTTAGTGTGTGTGTGTATGTGTGTGTGTGTGTGTGTGTGTGTGTGTGTGTGTGTGTGTGTGTGTGTGTGTATGAGAGAGAGAGATGCCACAGTGCTCAAATATAGGTCAGAGGACAACTCTCCTTTCAACATGTGAGTCACAGGAATTGAACTCAGGTCATCAGGCTTGGCAGCAAGTGCCTTTACCTGCTGAACCATCTCACAGGCTCTGTTGTTTAATTTCTCTTTAAAAGGTTTCTTGCCGGTGGTGGTGGCGCGCGCCGGTAGGATTTGCTGAAGGAGGCAGAGGCAGGAGGATCATGAGTTCGAGGCCAGCCTGGACTACACATTTTGCCGGGCGGTGGTGGCGCACGCCTTTAATCCCAGCACTTGGGAGGCAGAGCCAGGCGGATCTCTGTGAGTTCGAGGCCAGCCTGGGCTACCAAGTGAGTCCCAGGAAAGGCGCAAAGCTACACAAAGAAACCCTGTCTCGAAAAACCAAAAAAAAAAAAAAAAAAAAAAAAAGGTTTCTTATACAGGCATAAACACACACACACACACACACACACACACACACACACACACACACACACACACTCACCCCCGTGCTCATGCACTGTTTTTTTGTTTTTTTCCTTTGTCGGTATAAAATGAGCTCAGGTCATCTGGGAAGAGGAACCACACTGAGAAAATACCTCCATCAAATTGTCCTGTAGACAAGTCTGTGGGGGTGTTTTCTTGATTAATGATTGATATGGGAGGGCCCAACCCACCGTGGGTGGGGACACCCCTGAGCAGGTGGTCCTCTGGATTGTATAAGAAAGCAGGTTAGGCAAACCTGGAAAACCAGCCAGTAAGCAGCACTCCTCATGGCCTCTGCTTCGGTTCCTGCCTCCAGGTTCCTGCCCTCGGTGATAGACTGTGATTGGGACATGCAAACCAAATAAACCCTCTCCTCCCCAAGCTGCTTCTGGTCATGGTGTCTTTATCACAGCAATAGAAAGTAAGTCAGTATGGGGCTGACAGAGGCCAGAAGCGGGTGTCGGATGGCTCTGCGCATGTTGGAGTTGCATGTGGTAGTAGTTAGTCACCCAAGGTGGGTGCTGGGAACCACAACAAGCACTCTTAACTGATGAGTCATCTCTCCAGCCCTTTGCTTATTTTTTTTGTATTGCTTTGTTTTGAGACAGGGTTTCTCTGTGTAGCCCTGGCTGTCCTGGAACTCACCATGTAGACCAGGCTGGCTTCAAACTCAGAGATCTGCCTGCCTCTGTTGCACAAATCCTAATTGACCTTACAATAAAAACCTGGAGCCAGATATTGGGGTAAATGCTGAAAGATCAGAGAGACAAAGAAACAAGACACTAGAGAAACTTCTCACACTACTGAATCCTCAGGCCGAAAGGGAGGTGAGATCCTGTCTCCACAAATCCTCAGACTGAACGCCTCTGAGTCCTCAGCTGCGGGGGCTGAGTTCCTGTCACCTCCTGACTTATATGCCTTTCTCTGCCCAGCCATATGATTTCGTCTCAACCTTCCTAGTGCTGGGATTAATGGTGTGTGTGTTTCCTTCCCAAATACTGGGAGCAAAGGCATGAGATCCCAATTGCTGGGATTAAAGGTGTGTGCCACCACTGCCTGGCTCTGTTTCTCTTTAAACTGGATTAATCTCTTGTAGTCCAGAGTGGCTTTGAACTCATAGAAATCCAAACGGATCTCTGCCTCCCACGAGCTAGGATTAAAGGTGTGTGCAACCACTGCCTGGCCTCTATGTTTAATCTAGTGACTGGCTCTGTCCTCTGATTTTTCAGGCAAATTTTATTTGTTAGAGTGCAAACAAAATATCACCACATACTTCTGCCTCTCAAGTGCTGGGATTAAGGGTGTATGCCACCACTACTTGGCTCCTTTATTTTATTTTTGAAGACAGGATATTATGTAGCTTAGGCTGGCCTCAAATCCCCTCTATACCCAAGGATGGCCTCAAACTCCTGAACCTTGTGCCTCCACTACCTGAGTGCTGGGATTACAGGTGTGCACCCTTACGCATCAGTTTATGTAGCGCTGAGGATCGAACCCAGGGCCTTGTATATACTAGGCAATCATTCATTCTACCAACCAAGCTATGTCCCCAGCCTCGATGCCGGGGATGGACTTTCTCACTTGGCTCTGCAGGGAAGGAGCTGTTGTCTCCAAGACCACATCCAGGCTGGTTGGGAAGCTCTGAGGGTCACTGACTTTGTGACTCCATGGGGACAGCAACCTGGCTTCAAGGCCCCTCAGGTCTTAGTCCCAAGATAGCTGGCGAAATGGAAAGCAGTGAGACCTCCTGACATTCAGCCAGTGGACTCTGGGAAGAGCCCAGGGCCCCAGGATGAAGAGGAGTAAGGGGCGAGTGTGTTTTATTCTCAGCCTCAGGTGAGTCAGCCTAGTGTTGACTCCAAGGTCGGGCAAGGCAGCCCCCACTCTGAGCTTGTTGAAGGTGAACCTGACAGGGGTGGGCCTGAGGGCTTCAGAAGCTGAGCCAGCTAGAGTAAGGGATCCTGGGAACCAGGGAATCTTCCACACCTGACAACTTTTCCTTGCCCTGGGCAATTATAAAGCCACAAATCACAAAGAAATGGTGGCATCAGCACCTTGGGGACCCTAATGGAATTCTGTGCTATAAAAATTCAATCAGCCAGCTGACCCGGTATGAGCCTGGCCAAGGCGGTGAGGCTGGGGTGGATAAGGATGCTACAGGCAGGAGGACCCTCAGAGTCTAACAGACACCTCTCATCAACCCCGTATTTTCAGATCTTCCAAAACAGCACAAGTGGGGTGGAGGAAGGGAGGCAAGAGAATCAGTTCAAAGTCATCCTTGGCTATATAATGAATTCTAGGCCAACCTGGGTTCCATGAGATTCTGTCAAAGGGAGTGGTGGGAATAGGGGCAAGGACAGAGCTAGGCCACCCTGGACAGCCACAGAAGGCCCAGAGCACAGACACTTACTCACTGGGTGTGACCTACCATCCTGCAAATCCTCTCCCACTTCAGAGAAATGGAAGAAGTGACAGGAGTCATTATAGATGACCAATGAAAAGATAACTCAAGTTTCTGGTTATGGGCTGCAGTCAAATCTCAGCGGCAAGGGGTGGGTTCTGAGCTCTGAGAGGCTCAGCTGTGTCTCAGAGGGCTGGGCCCAGGGCAGAGGTTTGTGCAGAGAAAGGACTTCTAGACTAGTCTGGAAGGATTTAAGCCAAGAATCCTCAGCCCCGGGTGATTTTTTTTTAATGTGTGTGGGTGTTTTGCCTGCATGTATGTCTGGGCACCACACTATGTGCATGCAGTGCCAATGGAGGCCAGGAAAGAGTGTTGGATCCTCCAGAATTGGAGTTAGAGATGGTTGTGAGCCACCATGTGGGTGTTGGGAACCAAGCAACAAGTGTCTTTAACCATTGAGCCATCTTCCTAGCCCCACGAGGACAATCTTGTGTTGGGGGACCGAACTCCGAATTGTGGAGTGTTCACCAGCTCCCTTGGCCTCCTCCCATCAGGAACCCTTAGCATCATCCAGTTTTGACATGTGAAAATGACTCCAGCAGTCCATGGTGATTCACGCCTATACTCCCAGCAGGCAGAAGACTGAGGCAGATTGAGCACCATGAGTTCAAGGCCAACCTGAGCTACTTAACATGATCCTGTCTCAAATGAAGATCAAATCAAATTTAAAGAGAAAAAGAAGCTGGGCAGTGGTGGCACACGCCTTTAATCTCAGCATTCAGGAGGCAGAAGCAGGCAGATCTCAGATCTCAGAGTTCCAGGCCAGCATCATAAGAAAGCAAGTCCCAGGACAGCCAGGGGCTACACAGAGACACCCTGTCTGGAAAGAATAAACAAAGAAGAAAGAAAAGAAAAGAAAGAAAGCCAGATGTGGTGGTGCACACCTTCAATTCCAGCACTCAGGAAGGAGAGGCAGGTGAATCTCTGTGAGTTGGAGGCCAACCTGGTCTACATAACAAGTTCCAGACCAGCTAGGACCACTTTGAGACCCGGTCTCAAGAGGGGAAATAAAAGCTGGAGAGATGGTTCAGTTACACTAAGAAGTTCTTGTTGCTTGTCATTCTTGCAGAAGATCTGAGTTTGGTTCCCAGCACCCATCTTAGGCAACTGACACCTCTGCTCTAGGGTATCCAACGCCCTCTTCTGGCCTCCCTGGGAATTGCACTCATGTGACAGACACAATTTAAAAAGAGGGAGGACAGACAAGATAGTTCAGTGGGTAAAGGAACTTGCTGTGAAGAGGGATGACCTGTGTTTGGTACTTGGGACTCATGAATAGAAGGAGAGAACTGATTTCTGAAAGTTGTCCTCTGACCTCTACATGCACACCGTGGCATGCACACAATAAATGACTAAATGTAATTCAATGTATTTTATTTTGAGACAGGGTTTCTCTGTGTAGCCCTGGCTGTCCTGAAACTCACTCTGTAGACCAGGCTGGCCTCCAACTCACAGGGATCCACCTGCCTCTGCCTTCTGAGTGCTGGGATTAAAGATGTACTCCACCATGCCCAGCAATTTAGTGAATTTTTAAATCCTCCATCAAAAGGGAAGAAGCTGGGCATGGTGATTCATGCCAGTAATTCTAGAGCAAGAGGAGTCTCAGTTCAAGTGTATCCTGGGCTACATGTGACTCTGCCTCAAAAACAAAACAAAACCTCAACAACAATCCAAAACACTGAAAAAGTTTTAAAAAAAAATGTCCAGGGAACAGAGCCTCCAACACCCCCGTGAGAAAAGCAGTTTGGATAATGGGGTGCAGATATGAAGCTTTGGGGGGCGCTGTGGGGAGGAGCTGTGTACTGCCCTCATATGTTGTTTTTCTTTTAGGGAGAGCCAATGGCAGGGTCCACTGTCGCCAAGGTCCCCATGCTGTTCCTGGTCCTTCTGCTATTCCCAGAGCTCCATGTAGCAGGCACCCTTGCGTCTGGATCCTCTGCCCGGAACCTGCCTGAATCCCATCCCCACCTCCCCAGCTCTTCACTGTGGGTGCCTCAGACCAGCCATCATGGCCGACGGGGCCTGGGCAAGAAGGACAGGGGCCCAGGCATGCCCAGCCGGGCCCAGGAGGGGACTGTGGTCACTGCCAGTAGGCAGGCTTCCGGGATGACACTTGGTCAGCGCCCTGCCGGCCTTCTGCAGGACAAGGATCAACTTCTGGGGCTGGCATTGCCCTATCCCGAGAAGGAGCCCCGGTCTTCCGGGTGGGCGAGGATGAAGAAACGAGGCAGAGAACACAAGAGGCGCAGGGACCGGCTGCGGCTGCACCGAGGTAGCTGGAGACCTGCGAGTCCTTCACTCTGGGAAAGCTCTAGGCAAATGCCAAGGGCAGGAAGTGGTCAGAGAGTCAGTGTTTTAAACCCCCGGAGAGACCATTCAGAGCCCCCAAAAGGGCAGAAGAGGGGATGCATCTTACTAAAGTCAGAGTGGTCAGCTAGGGAGAGGAAGCAGGGAGAGGCCGAGGGGGAGGGGCAGAGGTGGAGATCCGGGAACTCGCAATCCAAGTTCTGCCTCCTGAGGCGATCAGTCATCCTCCTAGGTCGGGAAGATTACCTTGCATCTGACCTAAATCTACCCGACTCTGAGTCCTGCCTGTATACAGATAGAAGAGCTGGGAACCCGCCTCCGAGCACATCCTTTAATGAGCTCAGGAACAGAGTGGGAGCTGAGAGCTTGGACTCGGCAGCCAGATCTGTTGAGACCAGTGTCTGACTCCACTACTCACTAGTTTGTGACCTTGGGAAAGTCACCTTCCTGAGCCTCGGTTTGTCCCTCTGCAAAGATACTGCCCAACCTTGGTGTAGGAGGAGATGACCTGATGTTCGGAGAGCTCAGGCACAGGCGTCACCTGAGCAATCGCTACTAAATCCATCCAGGGCTCCCTGGTTAGCGTCCTCCAACCCTGCTCACCAGTGACCCCGTGTGGTGGTCAGCTGTCTGTCACGGTGACAAAATCTCCGGGAAACTCCGCACAAAGTGGGAAAGGCTGATTTGGAATTAAGGATTCAGAGCATTCAGCCTGTGGTTGCTTGGACCTGGTAATGAGGCAGAGCATTGTGGAAGTAGCATAGAGTTGCTCATCTCATGGTGCTCGGTGGCCGGAAAGAAAAGGAGGAGGAAGAGAGACAGACAGACAGGCAGACAGAGAGAGGAGAGGAAGGGAGAGTCAGCACAGGAATACCTGGATCCTCGTATCCCCTTCAGAGGCACTCCCAACGATTCAAGTTCCTTCCACTAAGCCCCATCTCCCAGAGATCCCACTGCTTCCAAGTAGAGCCACAGGCTGGAGAATCAAGTTTTTCTTTCTTTTTTTTTTGGTTTTTTCGAGACAGGGTTTCTCTGTGTAGCTTTGCGCCTATCCTGGAACTCGCTTTGGAGACCAGGCTGGCCTCGAACTCACAGAGATCCGCCTGGCTCTGCCTCCCGAGTGCTGGGATTAAAGGCGTGCGCCACCACCGCCCGGCAAGTTTTTCTTTTTTTAAGAGTAATTTTTATTATTTTAATTATATGTATGTATGTGTGGATATGTGCGTGTGAGTACAGTGCCTTCGGATGCCAGAGACACCTGACGTGGATGCTGGGAATGGAACTCAGGTCCTTTGCAAGAGCAGTGCATGCTCTTAAATTCTGAGTCATCCCTCCAGCCACAAGACCAAGCTCTGGGTCCTTGGGGGACAGCAAAGCTATATACTGCAGCATCTTGAGAGAGATGTCACCCTCCCATGTCTGCCTGTGTTCACCTTCCTTAACAAGTTCTCTGCCTCCATTCCCAGTGTCTGTGGTCACCCAGGCTGAGGATCCTTTGGCCCAAATGAACAGTCTCTGACAAACCTGAACGTCTCCAACCAGCTGGCCCCGCCCCCAAGCAGATAGCCCCTCCCCCGCAGCCAGTTGGTCCCGCCCCCAAGCAGCTGGCCCCGCCCCCACAACCAGCTGGCCCCTGCCCTGGCCTCACCTGGCCCTGAGCCTGCACAAGTCACCTGACTACCAAGTTTTTTCACGTGACAGGACTGCCTCTAGGGTCAAAGCAAGTGCCACAGATGGGCTGGTGGGGGTGTTTCTCTAGGAAGAAAGTGGAGCATCCGCATGCCCCTTCTGCAGACAGTGAGAGAGAGGGCACTTGCTTCCCTGCCAGGTCAGCTGAGACCCCCCACATGGCAAGGACAAGCTTCATCACAGGCCCTCCCATTCTCAGGGGTCTCCTGTGCCAATTTGGAAGCTGCTGATACCTGAGGACCAGCAGGAGAGCATAGTACACATGGTGCCCCCAGTTTCCAAGAAGTTCCTTGACTTTGGTGAGGGAGGGTGACATAGTGGCAGTGGACAGATGAAGTCCATAGGCCAGGCCAGTTCATCATCACTGTGAAGCCTCAGGCTGACTGGGGTTCATTTCTGCAAGGTGGGGTGACCCCAAGGGATCCGAATCAACTTATAGCTGTGTCTTACAAGGACAAGTGTAGACAATTCCCGCCCTCCATCTTTTGTCATGGACCCATTGTTTGTGACCCTGTGCCCTCCCACAGTCACTCTTCCATACCTGAGTGTCTTCGAAGGTGGCCCCAGGAGTTAAACACATTGGCTTTGCACTCAGGACGGAGGTTCAAATCTATGCTCTGCTACACAGGAGCTGTGTGTCCTTGGTGAAACTGCCTAACCTCTCTGGCTTGGGTTTCTCCACTGTAGATGAACAGCAACTACTTCTCGGAGTTCCTGTAGTAGTTAGATGAAGTATTTATTGTGAAGTGGTGCTTGCGTGGTGTGTGTGTGTGTGTGTGTGTGTGTGTGTGTGTGTGTGTGTGTGTGTGTGTATGCGCGCGCATGTGTGTGTGTGTGTGTGTGTGTGTGTGTGTGTGTGTGTGTGTGTGTGTGTGTGTAAGTAGTGGCTCTCCTGCCATGTTTCTCCCCAAGTCCCTCAGCCTCCATGAATCTCACCTCCTCCAGGAAGCCTTCTGTGGTTTTATGTCCCTGGCTGCCCCCAGGCATCCTGGATCCAGACTTATTAAAATGCAGCTACTCGAGGAAAATCCTCTAACCAGCCCCCTTCCCGCAGTGACTGCTGTTTCCAGGTCTCTGGCAGGGTAGGCAGCAAGGATGTTGAATAGACAGACCATGATGCCCAGCAGCCCTGGGCTTACAGCAGGAAAGACGGGCTGCCCTGTAGGTAGACACCCTGTGCTTGCCTTGTCTCAGGCCGAGCCGCCATCCGTGGCCCCAGCTCCCTAATGAAGAAGGCGGAACCCTCTGAAGACCAGCTGCTGGAGGCTGCCGCAGAAGAGTCTTCTACCAGCCTGGCCCCCACCATGCTCTTCCTAACCACAGCAGACGCAGCCGCGCCTACCACAGAAGAGTCCCGGATCCTGCCGGTTACCTCCCTGCGACCCCAGGTAAGGGCATGTGGCCTTGCTAAATGTGCCTTTGAGACTCCTGCAAACCTCCTGTCAGGGTTCTCTAGAGGAACAGAACTGGTGGAATTAAGGCATATATCAAAAAGAACTTTCCTGGAGTGGCTTACAGGCTGTGGTCCGGCTGGTCCAACAGCCGTTGTCTTCCCATGGGAGGGCGAAGAATCAGGTAGTTGTTTGGCTCACGAGGCCGGACATCTCAGCTGGTCTTCCCTATGTCATAATCCTGAAGAAGTAAGTTCTAATACCAGCAAGTGCCTCAGCAGCGGGACAGATGGACTTGCCACCAAAAGTGAGGACAAGCAGACAAAAAGCAAAAGCTTCCTTCCCCCATGTCCTTTCACTCAGGGTGCCACCGGAAGCTGTGGCCCAGGTTAGGGTGAGTCTTCTCACCTTGAACGATCCAATCAAGAAAGATCCCTCGCAGGTGTGACTAGCTGCTTGGGTTTTAGTTGATTCGCCTCCTGATCTACTTAGGTAAACTGAGGCACAGAAGGAGGGTAGTAGTGGAAGCTGTTAAGCTTCCACCCCACTAAGTATTCTGTCTGCAGGAGGGTTGCCAACACCCAGAGGACATGGCCTTGGGGCTTGGGCTGGGGACAACCAGGAAACCAGTGCTACCTCAGCATGCTGGTCTCTACACACATAGAGGTGGGACTCTTGAGGAAGACCTTTAAAGTCTGGAAGAGTTTGGAAAGCAGCCACAAAGATTTAAAAACCCATGACCTAGAGTGACATGGGTCAGTGAGGTGATTGACTTGTCTACTCCTCAACTCTGAAAAAGTGAATGGGAAGGGAACAGGGAAACTCACACAAATCTGACTGCTGGTGACTCTAGAGGAGACAGGAGCTGACCAGGTCATTCTCTCCTGTGAAGGGGACAGGAGCTGACCAGGTCATTCTCTCCTGTGAAGGGGACAGGAGCTGACCAGGTCATTCTCTCCTGTGAAGGGGACAGGAGCTGACCAGGTCATTCTCTTCTATGGCTTAGAAAGTTTTTTGTTTTTTGTTTTCCAAAATAAAATCATTCAATACCAGATGTGGTGGCTCAAGTCTACAAATCCCAACACGTGGGAGACAGAGGGAGTAGCCTCACCACCCGGATGAGGCCAGCCTGGGCTACACTGTCTCAAAGTGAGACCCTGTCTCAAAGTGAAACAAAACACCCAAAATGAAATACCACCATTGAACTGGATCAATAATATATGCTCTATGTTAGTAATATAGAATAGAATACATAGCACAGTTGGTAGAATGCTTCCTTAGAGTGCATGAAACCCTAGGTTAGATTCTCAGCACTGGAAAGAACGGGCATGGTGTTGCACGCCTGTGATCTCAGCATTCAGGAGCTGGAGGCTGGAGGATTGAACCTTAAGGTTGTCCTTGGCTACAAAGTGACTTTGGAGCCAGCCTGGACTACATGAGACCCTGTTTCAGAAAGAAAAGAAGGAAGAGGTGTAGATGTAACCAACCGTCTTATTAAATAAGAAACACAGAGCCAATTCAGAGAAGAAAGCCAAGAGGTCAGAGCTAAGAGCCTCACCCTTCCTGCTTCAGCGATCCTCTTCAGTCAAGAGAGCTCTCCTAAAGGGACCTACTTCCTGTGTGTATGTCTTTATATAGTCTAGCTGTTCTGCCTTCTCATTGGTTGTAAACCCAAACATGTGACTGCCTCGTCACTGCCTGTATGTACCGCCCTCCAGGTCCTTAAAGGCGTGTGCCACCGCCGCCACGCACTTGCTATGGCTCTAATAGCTCTGACCCCTAGGCAACTTTATTTATTAACATACAATTAAAATCACATTTCAGTACAAGTTAAATACCACCACATTTCCCCTTTTCTATTTTAATAAAAAGGAAAAAAAGAAAAAGGTTATAACTGACAAAAGAAAAACTATATACAAAAGTACAATGACTATATACAATATATACAAGTAATAAATTTCTAAACAATGTCTAGTCCATTTGTATTTGACAAATTCAGAGAAAATAATTTCATTATCTATCCTATTTTGTTAAGTCCAAAATGTATCTAATTCACTTTCTATCCTAATTAATCTTCAACTATAACTAACTAACCTTCAACTATAACTAACTAATCTTCAACTCCCTCAGAGACCCAAGAAGGAAATAATATTAACTAACAAAAATAAAAACAGGAAGTGCATACAAGCAACTTCCAAAAAATTTGTGAGTTGACAGAAACAGCCAGCTGCCTGGACAGTCACCTGAGGTTTCTCCCCAATGCTGGGGCATCATCTTCAGCCTATAGGCTTAGCATATCTGACAGACTCATTTGTGAAGTAGGATGTACACAAGGTCAACAGTTCAACCTCACATTGAGTGAGAGCAGTCCATGTACCAGAAACACCTGAATTCCACTAGTGTCATGTCATGATTCAGGATTTTAAATTCTGGAAATTGTTGATGGTTTTTTAATTCAGCTGTCCATTCTTCTTGGCTGTGTATATGTGGCTTCATCTCAGCATCCCGTTCTTCTCCACATCCCTCTGTCAAATGCCAATCTACTATGGAGAGGTGTGAGCTTAGTTACTCTTCAAGAATAACTGTTTCACCTGCTGTTCCATAGCACATCAGAAGCCATCGGCCCACAGCCTGTTCAGCTGCCTTCGAAGAAAAGGGCACTGTACCTTTTCCGAATTGCGAAGGCCACTTCAGGGATGATGCCATATTGTCCTGGCCTCAGAAGATGCCTTTTGATAAAGCCATAACCACACTTGTTTTGGCAAGAATTAGTAGTCCTTTGTTTCATGTCCTGTCTGTCCATTTTGTCAGCAGTTGATTCGAGGATACTTTGTTGTCCAGTGGCTAACTTTTGCCACAATGAAAGTTAACTCCATATGCAGTTTCTTCAATGCCCATATTTTCTCTGAAGTAGATTGGTACTGCCAGGAGCCGACATGTCTCATAATCATAACAAAAAAGAAAAATTTTCTAAGTTATTAAAACATTTTAAATGCCATATTCTGTAGGTTTCTGAAGGGTTTGAAGGTGACCTGTCTAAAATATATCTGCTCAATTTTTAAAACATATCTAATATGACTACAAGTTCTATTGTAATGTCTAACTACTAACTTTCATTTCTTTATATCCTAATAGTTGGTAATAATAACATTCAAGGATCAGAAAATTGCATTGTTAAATGAACAGTATAAGTACAATTAGAAATATACATATAGCATTTTCTAACAATATCAATTCCAATATATATAATTTGTATACAATATAAAACAATCCAATCCAATGTAAAGTATTTAAAACTAGTAATTGTCTTTTTCTTCTTTCTTTCTTTCTCTTTTTTTTTAAACAAGAACCTTAAATCTAATCTCCTTTGCTTAGCCTTTTTCCTAACCCTTGACAGCAACTTGTAACCAACCCCCCTAAACAATGAAAATTATCCCAGACCCAAAACCCATTAAAAAGACCAAAAAACCACCCGCCCCACACCACCTCTTTGGGATTGTGGGCGTCGTATTCTTAAAATTGCTTCCTGCTGGGTATGGGCGAAGTTATCTTTATCCTGAAAGAAAAATTTTAGGTTAATTGTCAAATTCTAGGAAAGGTAACTATGTCCTTCATTATCCAGTCTGTGTATAATGCCAAAGTTCAGGGTTTATCTCAAGTCCTTATTCAAGTAGTCTTTGAGACTGGATCATCTCAGCTAGTCATCTCAAAATTGCTCTGAGCACCTTGTAGTTCAAAGCTGATCTGTAGATGATGTTTGTCAGCTTAGTGATGTTATTATTGTCCACGTGGAATTGTTGTTGTTGTGGGGCCCCATCTTCTTCCTGGAGACTTCAGTTGATGTTAGGCCTGGCCGTGATTTCCTGCAGAAAACTGATAAGAGACTCGAACACAAAGACATATATATGCAGCTAATTGAAGCCTTTTTTCTAGAATTAGTTAGTACTCTATATGACCATTCATATCTTAACAAAGTTTAAAATGTATATATATCTATATATATAATCTTGTAAATTTTGATATAAAATTTATACTTTAAGAAAAGTTTTAAAGAATCAGAATAGAATCAAAGAGTTGAGATTAGTAATAGAATAGTCCCTTAATTAATTTGGCTTTTCTCCTGTCCCATAGCAGAAGATGGCTCTTTTATTCTGGCATGATACAGGGAGTTTGCATTTTCCTTTTTTTTTGTTTTATTTATTTATTTTGCAATACAATTCAGTTCTACATATCAGCCACGGATTCCCTTGTTCTCCCCCCTCCCGTCCCCCTCACCTTCCCCCCAACCCCCCTCCCCATTCCCATCTCCTCCACCTGGTAGACTCAGTCCAGGTAGGTCTAGTCCCCTCCTCCCAGGCCGAGCCAAATAATCCTGCATAGGCCCCAGGTTTCAAACAGCCAACTCATGCAATGAGCACAGGACCGGGTCCCACTGCCTGGATGCCTCCCAAACAGATCAAGCCAATCAACTGTCTCACCCATTCGGAGGGCCTGATCCAGTGGGGACCCCTCAGCCATTGGTTCATAGTTCATGTGTTTCCATTCATTTGGCTATTTGTCCCTGTGCTTTATCCAACCTTGGTCTCAACAATTCTCGCTCGAACTGACCTACTCTGGTGATGGGATGGCCAAACACCCTAATTGTTGTGCTAGAAACCTCATCCAACTACTGAGGGATCTGGATGCAGCGATCCATGACTAGGCCCTGGGTGGATCTCTGGGAGTCCAATTAGCGAGAATGAGGAGGGTTTATATGAGCGAGAATTGCATTTTCCTTTTAACAACATGCTTGAGTTTAAAGAAGGAGAGAGCCATTCTCCAACTCCAAAGTCAGCTTTAAATTTTAATTGAACTGGGACTATTAGAAGACCAATAGTGTTAAATTTTTAGAGAAAAGCAGAAACAAACCTTTAGGAAGACATAAAATTTTTTAGATAATATATACCCATACGCCGTTTCACTCTGTTTCTTGGGATAGATGATTTGTTCCTTTTCTTCAGTTGTCTCATTTGTCCAGTGTTCTTCAGATTCCTTAACCTTCATTCTCCTAAAATGGAGGGAGAGGGAGAAAAGAGAGTCACATCCCTCTGTCGCAGTCCACTGCCATGCTGCGCTGTTTTGTGAGTTCTTGTTAATCTTTTGCTGTGCCTCATTTAAACTGATTTTTTATTCGTTTGTTTGTTTTTTGAGACAGAATTTCTCTGTGTAACATCCTTAGCTGTCCTGGAACTCATTCTGTAGACCAGGCTAGCCTCGAACTCATAGAGATTCGCCTGCCTCTGCCTCCCGTGTGCTGGGATTAAAGGCGTGCGCCATTATCACCCAGCTTAAACTGATTTTTAAAAAATTTTAATTTGTATGTGTGGGGAAAATGGTATGCACACATGAGTGGAGGTGTCTTTGGAGGCCAGAGGCAACAAGATCCCTTGGAGCTGGAGTTACAGGCACGTGTGAAATACCTGATGTGGGTACTGGGAACTGAACTCACATCCTCTGCACTCTTAACGGCTGAGCCATCTCTCCAGCCTTGATTTTGCCTCATTTGTAAATTAGACTCATAAGAGGGGTGTGTGTGTGTGTGTGTGTGTGTGTGTGTGTGTGTGTGTGTGTGTGTGTGAAAATAGCTACATACAGGGGTTAGCTCTTCCAGGCATCACTGGCAGGTTGGACCACATCTCCTGAGCATCAGGAGATCGCAGTAGGTTTCCTTTGTCCTCTTCCTTCGTCTCAATAATCCTGAGAGTCTGTGGAAAGCTGTGGCCATGAGCAGGTAGTTACAGTCTGTGCCTTGCTGAATCCTGGTGATCAGGTACGTGAGGACCCAGCCGTGATATCTGGTCCTCAGTAGTTTCCACAATATTGGTCAGGGTGGTAAGGGGGCCTGTGTTGTAAGTGGATCAGCGGGTCAGGGTTGTGAGTGGGCCTGTGTTGTGAGGGGGCCTGTGTTGTGAGGGGGCCTGTGTTGTGAGGGGGCCTGTGTTGTGAATGGCCTGTGTTGTGAAGGGGCCTGTGTTGTGAGGGGGCCTGTGTTATGAGGGGGCCTGTGTTGTGAATGGCCTGTGTTGTGAGGGGGCCTGTGTTGTGAGGGGGCCTATGTTGTGAGGGTGCCTGTGTTGTGAGTGGATCAGTGGGTCAGGGTTGTGAGGGGGCCTGTGTTGTGAGTGGGATCAAGGCCTGCATGTGGTCTTCACAGGACCCTGAGAGGAATGACAGAATGAGCAGTGGGTCCACTTCTAGTTCCCTCCTTGATGGGCTTAGGAATCCTGAACAAGCAGATCAGCCTCCTTTGTGGTTACCTTGACTCTTCACTTGGAAGGCTCCGGTCTCCTCCCCTGCCTCATCTTCTGCAGGCACAGCCCAGGTCTGATGGGGACGTGATGCCCACACTGGACATGGCCTTATTTGACTGGACTGACTATGAAGACTTAAAGCCAGAGGTCTGGCCTTCTGCAAAGAAGAAAGGTAGGCCTACCTTGCCATCCCACCCCATGTTTGGAATCCTCTCCCCAGCACCTATTGAGGGAGGACATTTGCTGAGTCCAGGGTGACCCACAGGTGTCCAAAGGTGGGCTGGCGTGCATCAGTCTAAGCTGCACCTGACACTCACCGTGACAAACAGTGTCCCACACTCTCTGCACACTAGCCAGGTCCCAGGTCTCTTACAGGGAGACAGGCTATGGGATCTGCTTTAGGGAAGAAAGTGAAGCGGAGAGAGGCAGAGGCTCTTGTCCAAGCCACACCGTGGGAGTGGCCACTGTGACACCCAAGTCTTGTGCTTAATCTGACCCCCAATTTCCTTGTCCCCAGAGAAACACTGGAGTCACTTTACCAGTGACGGTAACGAGACGTCGCCAGCTGAGAGAGAACCATGTGACCATCACCAGGATTGCCTGCCAGGTACCCTGGTACCCCAGTACCCACACTTGAGGCACCAGGCTGGGAGGGAATGCCAGAAAGGCAGGCAAGACAGGGCTTCTAGCTTCTAGCATGGGAGCAAGGCTGAGGGTCCTGACCCTTTATGCACAATAAATAGCAACTACAGTAGCCACCAGTCTCCTGAGAGTCATTATCAGCAGCCACCAATTTCCTGAGAGTCACTATCATATTCGAACTCACAGAATGACTTAGAGAGAGTAGGAAAGAAGTGAGGTAAAGTGGGGGCGTGAAGACTGACTGACTCAGTTCAAAAATAAAGCAAGGCTATTAAGGCCCAGAGAGGCCAAGGGCTTTTTTGAAGATCACACAGCCTGAGCCAACTTGGATCCTAAGCTTCTTACCTGCAACCCCCCTGCCCTGAGTCAGATGGTCTGCTCCTGACCTCGTCCTCTCAACACCCACAGGGGTTAATTATTCCCTTCATCATGGCACCACCTGGCTTTCTGGGGATGGTCCCAATGGCACCCTCTCCTGTTCAACAGCCCTACCCCTCACAGCAGGATGGGTACAGGGGTCGGCTGTTTGACTGGAGTCTCCCCAGAGCAGACTCGGAGGTGAATTAGAAGCTGTGGTGGGGTAACACCTGTCATCACAGTGCTTGGGAAGTGCAGGCAGGAGGATCAGGAGTTGAAGGTCATCCTGGGGTACACAGGGAGTTGCAGGCCAGACCTTGTCCTGGGGGATGTTTATCTGGGGTGTTGGTGGTAACACTTATTAAAAGCAAGAGAGGAGACAAGTTGACAGAGAGACCTCAGGCCTGATGTCATGCTGGCCCAAAAGGAGCCGGAGAAAAGCCTTGCCTTCTGGGAAGCCGCGTGCTGGGCAGAAGTGGTGGCCCTGGTCTTGGCCGTGCAGGAGCTGCTGGTCTTTGGAGCTGCTGGTCTTTGGAGCTGCTGAGGGAAGGGGTGGTTGGGACATGGGACAAGGTGGCCCCTGAAACCGTTCACAGCAGATCAGTGATTGATGGCCCTTTTTGCTACCAAATAATGAGTGCTTTGGGAGGTGGGGGCAGGGAAGACTCAAGTGGCCATCTCCACGCACCACATCAGCAGGACAGTCTGCAAAATGGTAGCCATTTTGGAATTGTAGAAGCAAGATGCCAGCCCAGACAGGCTGTCTGTTCCTACATCACTGTCCACACTCTGAGTGTGAAGAAAAGACAGGAGTCAGAGCCAACAGGACGGTACTTGGAAGCTGGCTCTGTAATGGGCAAAGAGCTGCCTCAGGCCTGCCTAGGATATCCCTGCAGCCCCCCAAGGCTTCAGTTTCCCCATCTGTCCAAGAGGACGTTGGCGTCCATGATCCCTAAGGCCCCTCCCAGCTCTCAGCTGGCTCTACCTCTGGCACCCCTCGCTATTACAACCCCATCCCTGGGAGGTGAACCCCACACCACCTTTGACCCTCCCATGATCAATCACGTGGCCCAGCTGGGGAGGCTTGGGTCTGTGCCACCTGCCCCCGGGGATTTCATCCACGACATCCCGCAGTAGTTCCAGCCCGGAGCCTTGCACACCAGATGGCCTCCCAGGGCCTGGTTTGCCACACGGATGATGGATCTCCTGTCCAGTGGGACTCCGTGCAGGGCGGTGGCGGGGAGGATCCGCTCAGCTTGGCTGACCACGTGTGTTTGCTATGTTGCCAGGAACTTGCTGCGACCTCCGGGAACATCTCTGTACGCCCCACAACCGCGGCCTCAACAACAAATGTTTTGATGACTGCATGTGCATGGAAGGTCAGTCTGGACTCTGGGAGGGGGAGAGCCCCCTCCCCACCATGCTCCCAGAACTGTGAAGCCTTTGTTGTCCAGTCAGCTCTGCAATGAGCGGGGCATGAGGTTTCCTGGCAGAGGGTGGATGTGATGGAGGGGCCTGGGGAGAGGGAGTGGGTAGGAGAACCCCCTGGGAGCTGAAGGAACAGCTTTGCTGGGGCCTTCCAATCTGTCAGCTCAATGCGTCTCCATTCCTGGCATCGTTTCTCAGATTTGTGTTTCTCACCCCTTGAAATACAAGCTGGTGTGATCTCTCAGGATCAGGAGGGGGAGCAGAGAGGAGACAGGAACATATCTCTTTAAATAAGAGCCAACCTGAGAAGACTGGCATGTTCTCAGCAGAATTCTAGATGGGAGGCTTTCCAAGTGAGACGGGGGGGGGGGGGGGACAGAGAACTGGGTGGGACTGTCAGCAGTCACAGGGAAGGGTTCACTGGACTACCGGTTTAACGGCCCTGAGCGCCCGCCTCAAACGGAAGGGTGTGTGTGCCCCGTGCACACAGGTGCCCACTGGTGCCTGTCCCATGCTGAGTCCTTTCCTGCCTGGAATCTTCAGTCATCCCTGGAAGGGAGGTTTTATGATTCCCACTTCGAAAGTGGGGTGAGGTGACTTACTCAAACACATATTTAGGAGGAGGGGGCGTGGAAGAACACCTTGTTAGTAGAGTGTTTGTCTCAGCAAGAACAACGGTGACGAAAAGTCCTGAGGCAGAGCTATGCTGAGTCTCATAGGCAGGCCTCAAACGCACGATCCTCCTGCCTCAGCCTCTCAGGCAGCTGGAATTAAAGTCTGCGGCATCGCTGATGGCTCTCTCCTTCCTTCTTCTTCTTTGTTTTTTGGATTTATTTTATTTTATCACAGGAAAAAAGGAGAGGAGCGAGGAAGAGAGAGGGAAGGAGAGGAGAGGAGGGGAGAGGGAAAAGGGAAGGAAATGAAAAAGAAGGGAAAAAACTGCCTGTGGTGGTATATACTTGTAATCCCAGCACTCGAGAGGCTGAGGCTGGAGGATCATGCGTTTGAGGCCTGCCTATGCAACTCAGCATAGCTCTGCCTCAGAACTTTTTTTTTTTCTTTAGACAAAGTCTCACTGTGTAGCCCTGGCCATCCTGGAACTTACTATGTAGACCAGGCTGGCCTTGAACTCACAGAGGTTCACCTGCTGGGATTAAAGGCATGAGGCACCATGCTCAACTACCTGAGAACTGCTCTAAAAAGGACTTGTTAGGTGTGGGAGTGCATGATTTTAGTCCTTGCACTCAGGAGGCAGGGGTAGGTGGATCTCTGTGAGTTCAAGGCTAGCCTGGTCTAAATTGTAAGACCCAGACTCTAAATAAATAAATACATAAATCACCGAAGTCATAGCTTAGTGGTAGAGCACTTGCCGGGCCTTGAGTTCAGTCCCCTACCCATATGGTCAGGGATGGTCTGAAGAGATGGCTAAGTGGTTAAGAGCACAGTCCTCATCTGCTCTTGCAGAGGACCCAGGTTCAGTTCCCTGAACCTAAGCTCAGGACCATCCATGACTCCAGTTCCAAGGGACCCAGTCCCCTCTTCTGACCCTTCACAAATACGCACATGGTACATATACGTACAAGCAGACCAAACACTCAGACTCAAGATAAATTTTACTTTTTTGTTTGTTTGTTTTGTTTTTCGAGACAGGGTTTCTCTGTGTAGTTTTGGTGCCTGTCCTGGATCTCGCTCTGTAGAACAGGCTGGCCTGGAACTCACAGAAATCCACCTGGCTCTGCCTCCCAAAATTAAAGGTGTGTGCCACCACTGCCTGGCTCAAGATAAATTTTAAAGAAAAAATTTCAAAGAGAAATATGGAGGAAAAATAATTCTACTTCTGTCTTCTGAGAATCTTCAGACCCACACTACAGTAGGCATAGTATCATGAGCCCCCTGGTTCCCATCCCAGAGATTCAATAAAGACCAACATGTGGCCATCCTGAGTGGGACTGTCACCTCCACACACTTCCCTTGTTTCAATATGATCTTTATGCATTTATTCAGTATTTATTTCAGCACACACCTCTGAGAGATAAGCGCCCTTTTAAAAACAAGGTGTCTACATTGCCGAGACAAGCGATATTCAGCCTGCATTCCGGGCTCTGAGGGCAGATTCCTCCCTTAGCTACTGTGTGAACCCGAGCCACACTCCAAGTCTAGTTCACAGTAATAACAGAGCCTGCACCTTCTCCACTTCTGTGTTACATTCCAGTGAAATGAGAGGTCGAGAAACAAAGCCATCGATAAGCTGCCTCTGGAGTCAGGCGCCGGGCTCACGCCTGTGATCGGCACTCCAGAGGTAGAGATAGGAGACTCACGGGTTCAAAGTCATCCTCAGCCACATAAGGAGTTCTATCCAGGGCAGCCTGGGCTAAAGAGGGTATTGTATCCATCCCAACCACCCTACACTCACCCACTCATCCCAGAAAAAGAAAAATGGGAAAGAAAAAGTCCCCGGAAAGTCATAACGGCTGTAGAGAAAGCCTGAAAGGTTGGTAGGTATTCTCACAGGATGTTACAGAGAGTCCTTGGGAAGAGAGGAAAGAGTGGGAGATGGAGGTTGAAAGAGAGCCCAGGGCTCTGGTAGGAGGCAGAAGGAAAGGGACCTTGGGCAGGAGCAGCCTGACTTGGCGTAGAGTGACCTGGAGAAGGTTATAAAGGAGATGAGAGAAGCTTCGAGAAGAACCACACTGACTTTGTTGCTCTCATTTGGATTTTGTTTTATTAGCGATTGGAAATCCACGCTGAAGCAGAGGAGTCACGTGGTCTAGCCTCTGTATTTAAAAGATCTTTCTGGGGCTGAGGATGAGACTCAGCTTAGCTTGCCTAGCCTGGGTTCTATTGCCAGTGTGAGTTGGGTGTAGTGGTCCATGAGTACAGTCTAAGCACTTGGGAGGCAGAGGCAGGGCGATTGGGAGTTCAAAGTCATTCCCAGTTGGCTAGTCTGGGATGCATGAGACCCTGTGTTCCCCTGCCAAAAACTGCAGGACTGGGGGCAGTTGAGGACAGGGAGCAGGCTGGAAGGCTAAAGAGGGTAGAGACTGACCAGGGTTAGAATGTGCTGTAAAATGCTGTTGCCTGTGTTCAGAGCATACGCCACTTCACAGAGGAGCAGACAGGGCAAGCCTTTGAGTCCTGGGCTCACAGTCCTTGGACTGTGATCCAGCCCTAGCCTGGTAAGGGCGCTGTGGGGGGCTCTGAGGAGTTAAACCTCCTCCCGAGGGCCTCAGATGGCAAGGTGCTCACCCTGCTTTCTAGGAATCCCTAAGGTGCCGACATTCAGAGCCTAATTGTGTCCTCTTATACTGTAGCCTTGGCTGGCCTCAAACTCACAGAGATCCCCCTGCCTCTGCTTCCTAAATGCTGGGATTAAAGGGTGGGCTACCATGCTCAATTTTTTTTTCCTAAATAGGAGACAAGATCGTGTGTAGTTCAGTGATAGAATGTGTGCTTAACATTCAAAGCCCCAGATTCAACATGTAGGTTTTGCTTTGGTTTGTTTGTTTGTTTGTTTTGCTTTGCTTTGCTTTGAGTCTATGTAGTCCTGGCAGACTAAGCCCAAACCTGCTGCCTCAGTCTCCTGAGTGTTGGGGTTACAGGCCCGTGCGACCAACCCAGTTTCTTAAAACTCTTTTCAAACACGGTGGGTGGTGTGGAGGGGCTGTAGGATGAGAAGCCTGTGCCGGCTAGAGGGGAAGGAAAGGGAGGGGACAGTCACCAGCAGGCATGACATCCTTGCCTCCTTCTACTCAGGGTTGCGTTGCTATGCCAAATTCCACCGGAACCGCAGGGTCACGCGGAGGAAGGGGCGCTGCGTGGAACCTGAGACAGCGGACGGGGACCAGGGATCCTTCATCAACATCTAGCGCCGGAGTGGTGCCTCCCCACCGGCCGGGGGTCTGAGCCAGGGAGGGCTGGACAAACAAGACCGCGTTAGTAACTAGCTCCGCTTGGGGCTGAGTCGGGGAACCAATGGCTGAGGCTGCGGATGCAGGCCCAGTACACTCACCCCCAAGCTGGAGGACAGCTTGGCTGAGAGCAGCTGTGCCTGCCATCCCCGGTCAGACCCACGCAGCTCAAGGATCCTGCGCTCTGCTCTACGTGATAGCCGTGTTGAGCGCGCCCTCTTCTGCTCGACACCAGCATTGCAGCAGCTTCAATTTGGAAAATCAAGAGGTTTTGCCGGTTGGAAAGGGTTGGAAAGAGAGAGGACAAGACGGGAGTGGCTGTGGAACGCTATGTCCCAGGCAAACGCCAAGCACTGCGTTCATTTTTACTGAATTTCCACAGAGACCGTGGCAAGAGGCCACTGAAGCACTGAACTGCAAGACTTGTGCAAGGTCCCGCCTCATCCATGATCCTCCATCTTTGGCCGCAGATACACCATGACTGTCTTCCGCCTTTCCCAACAGAGGCTTATCATTTTTTTTTTTTTTTTGAAAGACAGAGTCTCACTCTTTGGCCAAACTGGCCTTTGGAAACTCAGACAATCCTCCTGCCTCAGTCTTCCAAATGCTGGGATTACCAGGCGTGAGTCAGCATATTTGGCAGGTGTATTATCTTTAAAAACAAAGCATAAGGGGGTGGGGTGTGGCTGAGTTTGTAACGTGCTCGCCTCAGACTCATGAACCCTGGGTTTCCACCCCCAAGCATGGCGTCAATGGCGGGAATAGGCAGGAGGATGAGAAGTTAAAGGTCATCCTTAGGCTACATAACAATGTGAGACCAGACTACAGGAGACTGTATCTCAAGCAAAACAAAATAAGCCATTTGCCTAGCCTACACAGGGCCCTGGGTTTGGTCCCCATTCATTCTCCTCCATTCCCACTTCTTTCCCCTACCCCCCTACACTCGGGAGCTGCTTTCCCGTGAAGAGCGATCCCTGTGGATGGGTCCTTCCCTATGTCGGGAGCTAATCACAGTCAAGAAGTGACTGAGGGAAACTAACTTTCCTGTTGTGCCCATGGCCCTGGTCATCCAGCCCTGGGACACTGGGTCACTCCTTCCTAAATTGTCCTCAGAGCTTCTACCTTGCTGGAAAGACACACATACTTGTCACCATATGTTCACAGTGTTTGGTGATTCCCAATCTTCCCGAGTCCATCTCTGAACCCCACCTCTTCTCTCCAGCAGCAATGCCCCTTGGAAAGTGGGGCCACCTCGGAGACTGGTGCAGCTTTCATGCTCACAGGCTAGAACCACGATGATAACCTCACTGTTATCGTCACCACCCGGAATATGTGTCCCAGCAGATCTGGTTCCAGGAGCCACCTCAGGAGAACCCTTTAGATTCCTGTACCTGACGTCTTCCCCCTGGTCAACTTTGGCAAAGGAAAAAAGCCTTCACTGCGCCAGCCCTCCCCAGCCTGGACCACATCCATGGGATGCCAGAGCTGTTGACGGCTTTGGGGTAACCAGTCTGGTCCAGGGGTCAGGCACCAAGGAAAACAGGCAGATCTAGAAGAAATCAAATACGCTTGTTCTTGTTTCCCAAGTTGGGTCTGATAGGCCTGGGAATGGGGGGCAGGGCCAAGATCCCGGAGGATCAAAGTGGCAGTGGGAAAGCAAGTCCTAATACAGATTGATTTTCCTTTTTGTAGTGCCAGGGCCTTGCACGTTCCAGGCAAGTGCCCTGCTACTGAACTACATGCTAACTGGTCTGCTCTTCAAAGTCTCCAAGGCTCCCCAGGGGGCTGCCATGGCAGCCAGGGTGAGAGCGTTGGTGCCCAGCCCTCCCACCTGCGGCAGCCGGCGGCACACCGCTGTAAACAGCCTCTTCCTCCCCTCACACTTTGCTGACCTTGGGAAAGCTGTTTTACGGTCCCTGTGCCTTGACTTTTTTCATCTGTGAAATGAAAATGCCTGATTCTTAAAACAGTGCCTGGCCCCTAACACACACACACACACACACACACACACACACACACACACACACACACACACACACCCCTAGAGTACCAGCTAACAAACTTCAGCAGGCCTTCTCTTCCACAGTGATTCATCACATACCCAATGATGCTTTTTTTTTTTTTTTAATGGTGTCTCACTACACAGCTCTGACTGGCCTGGAACTCACCATGTAGACCAGGTTGGCCTGGACCTCCTCTGCCTTCCAAGCTGGGATTAAAGGTTTGCTCCACCATGCCCAGCTCAGGATGCTTTCTTTGGTTGCTCCAAAATGCACTTCACAACAGACGTAGTGGCGCGTGCCTTTAATGTCAGCATTTGGGAGGCAGAGGCAGGCGAATCTCTGTGAGTTCAAGGCCAGCCTGGTCTACAGAGTGAGTTCCTGGACAGCTAGGGCTATGTAGAGAGACCCTGCCTCAAATAGATAAACAAACAAAAACAAAGTGCACTTCACAAAACCAAGTCACGGCTCTGAAGAAGCATGTGGATTCCCAGGCTGAGGCAGAGCTGAAGGAGCATGTGGCTGCACAGGTTTGTGAGAGTAAAAGCAAACTCTGGTGTGGAGCTAAGCAGGGGCTAGTAACTGCCTCAAGGACGCTCTGACAGATCCCCACTGTCTCCAGATGGGGACATTGTCCCTGGACTCTGTCTGGCAATATGAATGGTGGTTTCCATGGCTGGTGGAGAGGGACTAAGGGGGCTATTTCAAAGGAAAATGACATCATCTGCCCTTTGAGGAGGTCCAATTCCAAGGCCACACCCTTTCTCCTGCTGAGATGGTGCAGAGTCCCTCCCCAGCCTCCTTCAGTCTTTCCCAGACTCCCTCTGCAGCTGCTGACAATGAGCATCTATGTAACCTGCAAGGAGCATGTCTAGGAAGTAAGGAACCAGGAGCTCTGGGTGCCGGGAAAGTGGGGTCTGGAGAGGCCAACAGCTGAGGCTCCTTTGAAGGTTCTGGGGGCTGGACTACATTAATCCTGGCCCTCCATGGCAGACTTCATGCTCACAGACCATAGTGAGTGTGTGCTTACAGGCCATAGATATTGTGTGCACACAGAAAAGGGGTGGTCAGGGTGAGCAGGCTGCATACAGAACAAGGGGTTACCCTGCAGGGAGTGGGTTTCCAAATCCCCCGGAGAGCAGGTGATCTGGGGCAGATCTATGGTCGAACCACCCCTGGTTGTGAAGGCCGAGCATCACTTGGGAGTCTGGTAGAAGCACAGAACCTTGGGCTTCACTCCACACCTACTAAACTGTAGTCACAGGAGTGGCCCCCGGCATCTGGCTTCTAACACATTCTTCAGGGTACTCATGGGTGTGATGGGTGTGAGGGCCACAGACGGAAGGCTGATGCTGGCGGAGGGACATTTGGACAGTTCAGCACTCTTGCATTCACTATGGCTTGGCGACTCTGAGGTCTGTTTCCTGGCAACTTACCAACAAGGACAAACTCCACATTCCAAGGCCTGCCTCCTGAGCTGTCATTGGCTCTGCTTAGAAGACACCAGGTAGGGCTCCTAGGCCTGGAGCCTCCATCATTGGACTTTTGTACTCTTGGGAAATTCCTTGGAGGGTTGTAGCTCCTCCTTGAAGTGTGGGAGTGACTAGGGAGGGGTACTATGCGTTGGTTTATTGACGCCATATTGCATGTATTCTCTGAGCTGTAAATAAAGGGGTGACCATTGCTAAGCGACTTCTTGACCTTGTTCTTCCAGGAAATGGTCCATCTGGCTGGCAGGGAGCATTGTCAGAGCCTTGAGAGGGGACCCTAAGCCTTGTACTTCCATTGTCATTTCATATTTATTTGATTTGGTTGAGGGCTGCTCTGAGCAAGCAAGGTGAATGTGGTTCTTCCCTCACCTGGACCTCACCCATCACTCAGGTCCTTTAGTTGGATATCAAGGTCTGCAGGGTTGGAACAGCTGGGGTGCCAAGGGGATTGAGAGTGCTGGTCACCACAGGCTGACAAGCAGCAGCTGCAACAGACACCTGCTTCAGTGTGGTGCAGGACAAAACACTGTCAGCTCCGGCGAGGCCTGGGAAAGCTCAGACGCCATCTTTTGGAACGCTTGTGTACTATTTGTGGTGGCCTGGTTTGCACCTGAGAGAACATCTTATCTGGGTACCATTCCTGCCAGTACCACCCCAGTCTGCTCACTGGTCTGGTCATCCAGAGCAGTTCTGACTCCAATAGCAATGGCTTTGGTATCCCAAAGTGAAGGCTGAGCCCAGATATAGGCAGACTTTCCTTTCCCACCAGTCAATTCCTAAATAACCACACAGAGACTTAATATTAAATATAAATGCTAGGCCGATAGCTTAGGCTTGTTTTTAGCTAGCTCTTATAACTTAAATTAACCCATTTCTATTCATCTATGTGCTGCCCCAGGCTCATTGACCTCATCTATGCACTTCCCACCCTGCTTGCTCTGCATCTCATGGTGTCTCCTCCGACTCTACCCTTCTCCCCAGCATTCTTTCTGCCCTGAAAATCCTGCCTAGCCATCGGCCAATCAGCTTTTTATTAATATTGAGAGCAATATGTCTTCACAGAAGGATTATTTCACAGCACCCGGACACTTTTGGAGCCTGATATCCTTGCAAGATTTCTCTGCCCAGCTGTGCAGAGTGGATGGGGACTAGCTTTCCCAAACCTGAGGTTTCTTAACCATGAGCCCTTGCCAGCCAGCTCCAGACACCTTGGGTTTCTGAACCCACAGGGCCTTTGGCTCAGTGTCTCTAGAGTGCTCTTGGGATTCAGCTTGTTTGATTTTAGGATTGCAGAGTCCAACACCAGACCTCTCTTTCTGTGCCCCTGCCCAGTGAGCCAAGATACTCCAGCTGAGGTTGGTTCTAGGGGACCAAATCCAGATATCCTACAGACATCAAAGACCATGCTCTCTCTGTCCCAGGTCTTCAGTTCTGCCATTAGGTGGCATGGAAGCAGATGCTGTGTGCCAATAAAATTTGATTGACATAGAAGAGTAGTGGGCGGGATTTAGTCTATAGTTTACTCAGCCATCACTCACCTCTAGTCAATGGCCGGGGGAAAGGCCTACGGTTTTCTAATATGCTCTCTGTCCTGACATGCCAACTTAAATCTGTTTTTAAGATATCAGTGACCCCGAGCTAAAAGACCAAGACCAGACAAATCTGAGGCCACGGGAGTGTCAACAGCCTAGATACAGGCCTCAGAGGTCAGGTGGCTGCACTGGAGGCAGATCTGTTGGTTTGCTAAAGAAGCAGAAGCAAAACTAGGCCTGATGGCTCAATGCTTGCAATCCCAGTACTCGGGTGGTGGGGGATCAGAAGTTCAAGGTCACCTTTGGCTATATAATGAGTTTGAGGTTAGCCTGGACTTTGTGAGACCCTGTCTCAAAACAAAAAATCTGAAAAAAAAGATAAAATAAAAACCAACAGGTATTTATAGTCACATACTTTTAAATGGCTATATGTTTATATAGCGTACATATATGTATCTGTGTATACATATCAACACACACTGCTTTGCTTTATTTTAAGCACTTGGCTGTCTAGTCTGTGTGGACTGGCAAGCCCACAATCTGTAGAACAGGCTGGCAGGCCAGAAACTGAGGCAGAAGTTACTGCTGCCTGAGGCCAGATTTCTTCTCTGAGGCCTCCATTTTTGGTCTTAAAGCTTTCAACACACACAAAAAAATCTGCCCATCACAGAGGCTCCCAGGGTTTAGCTCCCCAGCCTATCACGACACCTGTGACAGTTTCTCTGACAGGCAGTGCAGGTCTGAGCTTCTTTGCTCTGTCAGCCACCCCAAGCTTTGGGTGGCGCCAGCGGCTGATGCTATTACCCACGTGGGCTCCTGCACCTGGAGTGCCCAGGACATGAAATCCCAGTCAGGGCTGGGATGGGCTGAGGGCAGAGTGAGTGGGTAGGAAATGACTAAACATTTTGTTCCTTTTCTATCTTTATCTTCCTCTTATCCCTGCACCACACACGTGGCATACCCTCCCAGGTGCATGCAGGGGACCAGAAGCGGGACGCCTGGGCTCTTTGGATCCTTGCGACTGGTCAGTGCAGCTTTGTACATGTGGTCCTGAACTGTCTTCGCGTGTCCTCGACTTTAACCTTACGGCAGTGCCTGGTACAGAGAGGTGATGCACTCTTGCAAACCCAGCCGTGGCTCCTCTTTGTTGAAGGAAGCTCCCACCCTCCATGTAACTGAAAATGCTGAGAGCTTCTTTGTAGAGAAGAGAAACTGAGTCTGTCGGCGGTGGCGCACACCTTTAATCCCAGCACTCGGGAGGCAGAGGCAGGCGGATCTCTGTGAGTTTGAGGCCAGCCTGGGCTACAGAGCGAGTTCCAGGGCAGGCTCCAAAGCTACGCAGAGAAACCCTGTCTCGAAAAACCAAAAAAAAAAAAAAAAATTGAGACACAGAGAAATACAAGTCTCTTCTCCAGAGTGAGACCAAGATAGTAGGTGGAGCTGGAGTCTTTACTGGAATCTGACTCTAAAGCCAGATCCTATGTCTGTAAGCCGTTGACCCTCTCAAACGGCACCAATTCACTAAGCACCTACTTAGTGATCACTGACACATACCCACCACTCCCCAGTAACCCGGAGTCCCACCTTCCCCCCCAGGCTTCACCAGGACCTTCCTCCTGGGAGGCGCTTTCTACCTGGTGAGATGTGAAGGCCTCTCCTTCCCACTTCCTCATTCCTCTCTTATCTCAGGCTCCAGCATCGTACCACACTGTGCAAGGAAGGTAAACCGCCTAGAGACTGTGGCAACAGATACAGGGAAAACAAACACCCAGAGAAACTGGCGGCTGGTGGGTGTCTTGGGGTGATAGGACCGGGGTCACAGCCGCCCTTGTGTGTATGCAGACAGGGCCCTCAGATGCTCCCAGAAATGGAAATTCCAACACCATCCATGCAGAAAGATGGGGGGGGGGCAGACAGAGGAGAGGCTGGGGCCTGGGATCCTGAAGCTCAGCAGAAACTTGACAGGCTAAGGGAGGTTGGAGGAGCAACCGGCCTTCAGGGAGGGCTTGGTACAGGGGCAGGGATGCCAGTTAGACAAGATGGTCAGGACGAAACACAGGGAGAACAACACATCTAAGCACACACATATATTTATGCACACAAGCATTCACACACACACACACACACACACACACACACACACACACACACACACACGCACACACACGCACACACACGCACACAGGAGCATGGGCACCTAATAAAAGGGAGCACCATAGAACAAAGAACTGGAGAGCAGGCCTCCTTCCTCCAGGGCAACAGCCTCTGTGTCTGCTTTCCTGATGGCGGGTTTCCTGGAATACAGAAGGGCAGAGGCGATTTTCCCACCTGCTTTTTCCACCAGGCCTTGGGGTGGGTCCCTCACTGTCTGATTTGAATGCTCCGGTCCCTGGAGGGACTAGGTGACTGGAGAGGCCCCACCGGTGGAAGCCTCACTCCTGGCAATATGAAACTGCTTTGGCTAAACTGCACTGACTCCGCTCTCGGATCCACAACGTAACTAACAGCAGGACCATCGCCTGGTCTCTCCACCTTCACATTGCCTGCCTCCTCACTGTGGCTCACCTGCTCCCTTCTGCACACAAATCACCCCAGGATAGCCTATCTCTCTCTTCCCTTTCATGAAACAAAGACAGGAGTAACCCAGGTAGCTCACTGTCAGCTTTATTTTTTAGATTTTTTTCTTTTATGTGTACCAGTGTTTTGCCTACATGCATGTACATACACTGCATGCATGCCTGGTGCCCAGGAAGGTCAGAAAAGGATCCCTTGGAGCTAGAGTTACAGATGGTTGTGGGGTGCTGGGCACCAAACCCAGGTCCTCTGCAAGACCAGCAACATCTCTCTAGCCCCTCACTATCAGCTTTTTATACTGTCCTATTCCAGACTCTCCAAGAGGCATCTAAAATGTCTTTTTCAGGGATTCTGATGCGCCCTCTTCTGGCATCCTTGGGCACTGCACACACGTGGTGTACAGACATACTGGTAGGCAAACACCCAGACACATAAAACAAAAATAAAATCTTAAGGGGTTGGGGATTTAGCTCAGTGGTAGAGCACTTGCCTACCAAGTGCAAGGCCCTGAGTTTGATCCTCAGCTCCAAAAATAAATAAATAAATAAAATCTTAAAACAACAAAGGACAGCTCTGCCTAACCGTCCATGCTTTCTCCAGTCCTGTCAGACCTGAGGCCAAGAAACCCAGAGCCAGTGTGTCTATGAAGATTAGTACCATAGGGAAGGAGACTGAGTCCAGTGGAGTCCAGTGGCAAGGCATCCCCTGTGCTGCTGAGCGGCAGGACTCTGCCCTCTAGGCTCTTCTCAGAGAGGCTTCTTGTCGGTCCCCACTTCCTCACAGGCATGTGTGCCCTTTGATGGAGCTTGGGTTTATGTTCTCTGCTGTTTCTTCCAGCTTGCCTTGTCCACTTGGGAAAGGAACCGGCTGGGACTCACATCCCAGCTTGTGTCTCCCTACCTCACAGAGCACAGGACAGCTGGAGTCGTTCTAAAGCCCTTTTCCATTTGGAGCCTTCTGTAAGCCCCGCATGTCTTAGACCTGATATCACTGCCCCATTTAGGGTAAGTGACTCACTCAAGGACACAGACACCCAGGGGAAGAGGGACAGGGGTGGGGCTGGGAGGTGGGAAAGCAGCAGGAATTCAGGCCTCAA